GAAATAACCGAAATCTGAGAAATATTTTCTCATCCGGGAAGCGATCGAAAATTTGCAACTCTTATTAAACTTTTATGCGTTTCACTGCATTGCAAAGGATTATAAGACTAATTTATCCAAAAATAATTTTCAACAAATATTTTTTGTTTTCTTTAATTTAATAAATAATAAGCAAAAATATTTTAACTGTAAGTTATGCTAATTTTTGCATCATTTTAAGCTATAAAATGAAATTAAAAATGCGAAATGGGTCAAATAAGTGATGAGTAATAAAAGTTAAAATAGTTCCTATTTTTATATTTTACTTTTTTAAGAACTATTAGAACCGATTTTTTAAACATTTTGTATTTTATGATTAAAAATTACACAGTTTTAAATTTTATAAAAATCTATGTTCCTCATAATTAAAAATGTTTTTGTTTTAATTTGATTACTAATAATAAATTATTATTAAATTTACTTTTTACTGGGAATTATATTTGGATAAGCGTCTTCAAATCATAAAGATTAGCTGTTAAGGCTTTTTTTTAATATACTGTTCATTTGAAATGTTTAAGTAAAACTGAGTGCTTTTACACTTTCAATTTTATTTTCCGTTGTTATTTCCTATCGAAAAATTGTTTCCGTGGAAAAAAGTTAAATTCATAGGAGAGAGTGGGGTCAATTGTAACAGGGTACGATTGTAACAGAGCAAAAATTTCGAGTGTCGGGTTCTAGATTTGGTTCCTAGGTGGCGCACAAGGTGTATTTAATAAATCTACGTGTACACCTCTGCTTGCAACCATTTTTATGTTCTTTTGAAAGAGTTACATCACAAAAGATATTTTCACGCTACGTAAGTACTTTTTTGGGTATTAGAATATTATATTGTAACAAAGTAATTTTGTTTAAAAAATAAAAATTATTAACCGAATATGTAAGTGGACACCTTAATCAACATTTCAAAAAAAAATATTAGTTTTGTTAATTAACTACCATTGTTTTTAACAAATAAAGCTGAAATAGCGTCTTGGGGACGATTGTAACAATAAGTAAAGGGACGATTGTAACAGCTGAAAATAAATAATCTTATGTTTACAAACCATTACTTAACTCTTTAAGAACCACCAATAGTTTCCTATATCATTTATATTACGTTGCATGCGCATTATTTTATTTGTCACCTTTCACAGCATAAATTAAAATTTTACCCCTTAAAGTTAAAAGTTTAACCCTTTAGGTCTCTGCTCATTATTATTTTCACTCCTAAAATATCACTACTATTTAAATCAATAAAAAAATATATCACAACTATGATAATATGTATAATTGACTATGCTTTAGTTGAATTTATGAACTGTTACAATTGACCCCGTAAGTGGGGACAATTGTAACAAGTGCACGACTGTCAAAAATTTTTAACAACTGATATAACAACATTTAAAATAAGGTATTTTTTTTTCTAGTAGAGGATAGTCTACTTTACTCGTCTGTCAATTAATACTAATAATATATAGGATTTTTTGTTAGTTAAAAATAGTTAATTAAAAATGTTACAATTGACCCCACTCTCCCCTATCGAACTAAAAATAAAGTAATTTAATTTAGAATGTTACCTAGAAAAATTAATCTGAAAATTATTCGAAACCTAATTTTTTTCAGATTTGTAATAAACCACAATAAAAATTCATTGAAACAGAGCTCTAAAATTTTTGTACATTAAAAGGTGTACCAAATAATTTTTTTCTTACAATGTACCTTATATGATGCATGTTAAAATCCACATATAAACCAAAAATCTCAATGAGTACAAAAAAAAATCTCAAATGCATAAATATTTGGAGGAAACAGACGGATAATAAAAGACGAACAACAGCAAGTAGTATGCGAGCTCAAAATCTATTGAATCACTTATGAATACATTCTATAAAACAAGCGCAATATCTGTTCCTGGAAATAAATGATATTCTATTCTCATGACCTGTTGCCTAGAAGCTCTGTCTCAACAAATAGAATCTATTGTTATATAAAAATTGAATTTTCCATATCTATTACCTTTCATATGTTTTTAGAAACTCGAAAGGATTAAATTATGGAGATATCTAATAGCAAGGATGGGGATTTTAATTAAATCAAATGTACAGTATATTGGAGTATAGTTGAATTGTATGCAAACTATAACTAAACACAACAAAAAATTATTATTTTTACTCACAGCAAATTTGTTATCAACCAATGGGGAATTCAAATTATCTCTCGACCTTTATGAATCTTGAGATTTGATTTTCCAAATCTATTTGAATTCAGCTTATGGCACAACTACTTCATTCCTATATAATAATTCTAGTTTTATTTTATTTTCATCCTTTTATTGAGTTCTAGAATTTAAAAACAAAAGCAAAGAAGATGGTTAAGATGATTCGGAAAAATTAATACCCAAGATGTTTTTTTTTTCAAAGAAAAGCTTTATTTAATATTATATGAAAGGTAACCTAAAGAGGAGAAAATTTCGTCTAGACTGACAAGTGAGTCATTATTTCTGATTAACTATTTTACGCTGAATTAAATGAGACCAACGACGAGTTAATGAAAAAAAATAGTTTAGAAGTTATGATGGTTTTATGTACAAAAAGTACACATATGAACTTGTACCTATTTACGCACTTTATATTGCTATCGAAACAAATGACACATTGTTTCATATGTATTTTTATACGTTGAATTGAAGGAGAGTATACATGAGCCAATAGTTAAAAATTTGAAGCGGTTTTTTTTCTTTTTTTTGTAAGCAAAGTATTATTTTTTACATGATATTTGTACGCTTTTTACTTTGCAATCTGGGACATTGAAAGTCAAGGTCAAAAGTCAAAGATTTTATACTGAAATAAATGAAACAATATTCAGGCGATAGAATAAAAAGTTTTGAGATTATAAGGACTTTCTTAATAATAAGCACAATTGAAAAATTTTACTTTTCATGCAAAAAAATCACCTTTCGAAATATTACCTCTTCATATTTGTCTTTTGTTTCATTCGGTTAAGTGAGAAAAATACGTAGAAAACAATATTTTACTTGTTTGTACTCTGCGTAGGGACCGAGGGTGTGCGGTATTGGTTCTCGTTAAACTGTGCTACCGTAAAGTGCTCGACTTCGTGCGCAGGTCGTCGGGCTACTGAAGCGGGGGTGCCATCCCCTCCGCAGAGGATCAAAATTGCGATGGCATGTCTTCGGATCATCCTCCGGGATGTTTCCCAGACCGTCGACAATAGCCCATTGTGCAGCTCTAGTGTGACGTAAATTAACAACAACAACTTGTTTGTACAGCAATGTAAGATGCGTAAATAAGTAATAAGAGTACACATTTGCGCTTTTGTATATAAAGCTCTTTTGACTTATGAACTATTCGTCCAATCTCTTCGAGCTTGATGTCATTCAATGCAATGTGAAAAAATGCATCGTAAGCTTTGCTTCATTTGCTTGTCTGGAAGAAATTTAATTGCCTCCTTAAATCATCCCTATTTCTCTTATATAATAGAGGAAGCGTATAGTGGAGAGGAGGGAAATTTTAAAGTCTCGTATCACTTTTTACTAAAATAATCTTGAGCATTCATTTTTTGTTGTTGAAAAAGTCCAAGTTTGCTGGACTATACGGTCAGTGACTGTCGAAATATGTACCATTTACTGACAGTAAAACTAAATGCAAGCCCGTAAAGCTAACGTGATCATAAAAATAGATTTGACAACTTACCGTGCATTAACTTCCATCTACTAGAGCGGATACTTGCAAAATTCATCTTCAGTTCAAGCATAAAAGCTTTTTGTGCTCAGGCATAAACCATAGAACAAGGCAAAAAAAAATAATAAAAAAAATTCAGTGCTGCCATCTATCGAGGATTCCATTCATGTGGTAATACATTCAATGCAAAAGAAAATCGAGGGCAATGTTATTTTGACCCGGCAGGATTAGAAACTGGGGCGATGGTTTCCGTAGTGAGATGCTGTAACCAGTATTGAGTTACGAAGCTTTACGTAATAACCATGAAATTAGCGGTTAAGACTACTTCTTACTGGTCTTTTTTTTACCGTATTGTTTGGCGCAGCATGTCCTCATCTAGACCTTGCTCCACTAAACCCTACATTCAATTCAATTCAATTCTTACTGGGCTTTTTGTCAAAGAATGGAGCTGGCTGTATAAATTGGTCAACTCAAAAAGTTTTGGCCAAGTTCCATATAATTAAAAGGAGAGTTTACGACATAAATTACCAATCAACTCTCCAATTTTTGCTGATAATTTTTCTAGTGTCCATCGAAAATTTAGAACGATACATTAAATTTTCTAATGATTACATATGTTAACGACAATAAACGAAGTGTAATCATTCTATACCATTTCTGGCATTGTTACGTACTTTAAACACGAGAATAACTATCTGCATTACATGGGCTTAATATACAATGACTAATATTTTCTGGGCGAAATATGATATTATCGTTTGACAGATAACAAAGAAACCAAGAAAGCAACATTTTTTGCCCCTTTCTTTCTAAAAAAAAGGATCCGGTTGAAAAATTTTTATTTAATAAATCATTGTAATAAGACAAAAAATTATTACTTTTAACCTACTAAGAAAAAACTTCAATGTAATGATTACCGAACTTTTTACCATTATAATGAATAAAATTAATTGATTACAGATCCTTGCCTAGTTATTTTTTCCTTAAAATTAATAAAATTATGAAGAATACAGGACAATCACTAAACTTTTATGGTTTTCTTATTAAGAAAAACGAACCAGATAAGAGAAAACTTACACAAGGAAATACTTTCAACTTTATCAAAAACTTATCAGATATCATATTTTCCAATTTTTAATGTAGTATAAAAAAAAAATGCCTATGCAATGTATGAAAAATTCAATCATTTTACAAAGAGCGAGTCTATGGCAGTTTCACAATGACAGATTTTCTGCCTTGCAAGCAACGTGTATTTGATATAGAATACTCGAATAATTTGTAACTAAATGGTTTTACATCGCGAATGTCTTACATTTAGATACATTGTGTGCTAGAAATCTATTTCTAATTTCATGTTCTGTCTTTCTCTCACCTACCAGATTAAAAGCAATGAAGAACCAAAGCTGTGATTCAGGCAACTCAGAGACGGTGTGTGAAGAGCCGACAAGAATATTCTTTGAGACGCCAGAGGATATGCTGAATCCATTGGCCATTAATCCATCTTTTGTACCTATTGTCCTCACCCACAGCATAATCTTCTTCATAGGCATTGTTGGGAATACTGTTGTAATCGTGACTTGGGCAGGCTCCAAACCAGCGAGGTGAAAAGGATTTGAATACGAAACTTTATATATTCATTTTCATTCAATATGTTCAGGAAACCAGCATTATTAATATAAATATGCTTAGTATGAATTCATAATAATGCTAATTTCATCAAGTTAATTCTTAATCTGCCCCTAAATATTTTTCCCAGAATTTTTACTTCAAATATTTTTACGTAATCTTTTACAATAAATTAGATATTCATGTATTCATACAAAGGAGAGGGTTACTATGCCCCCTTCAACTTCAAAAAAAATATTCTTAATTTAGAGTAGAATTATTTAAATTTTGGAAATTGTATTATTGGTTAGATTTGAATTGTTCGAAATATCATCCAACGCTTTTTCTAAGAATTACAAACTTACTGAGATATCAGTCATAAAGATATCGATAGTCACAATACCTTAAAAACAAATTCTTTACAATTCGATTTTTAAAAAAAATCTTTTTCGCAATAAAATTTCATCTGTGGATATGAAAGATACTAAATCATTTTATCTCTCTTGGTTGTGTTATATTAATATTAAATATTAAAAAATTATTTAAAAAAATATATCAAATAACATATTTCTGGATTTAATCGTAAAATCGATAAATGGTTATTCCGTCTCTCCAATCAAAAAATTGAACTATAAATTTATATGAATAGTTTATGTTTCGGTAACTTCTCTGTTAAATTTAATAAAAAAATTTATTCGTTTAATATTCTTTAATGGAGGTATATTTCATATGGTAAACATACTGAAATTTTTTATTGATCGTATAATATATGATCAATGAAATATTTTATAAATCATACTTTAAGTTACGTGATTGGAAATTACACTTAAATTGAAGTACTGCATACTAAATCATAATTTATTTTAAATGGAATTATCAATAGTTTTTATTTCAAAAATACGAAAATGGAATTGAAAAATATTTCTCACTCTTCATACTCTTCACAAGGTACAAGTTCTTTTCTTATTGTTTACAAAGAAAAAAAATAATATTTCGTAGTTGTATTAAACCTTAAGACATATTTTAGAAGTCTTTGTCAAAAAAAAAAATTAAATAGAAACTTGGTAGTTACTAATAAGTATTTAATTAACCACCTTCGTCGACCAAGGTCACCTTTCAAAACTGTCTTGTACAACATACAAAATTCAATAGAAACCCTGCTGAAAGCTCATCCCATATATATTTAATTATTCTACTTCTTCAACACCACTCTGTACTTTGACTTCAATTTAAACTACAAGCAGTTTTAAGAGATGTCCGTGATATTATCAAAGTTCTTCATGATAAGACTTTTATTGATAATTTGAATTCAGTCCGAATGTCATAAAATTAACAAACCTACGCAAGTATGGACATTTTTAGTTTGGACATTTCAGCATAGTAGGCAGCAGAAATATTAAAATTATTTCGAACTCTGTCGTGAAAACTATTCGATGCTCCATAACGTGGTACTACTTCCCCACGCCTCTCTCGTGCCATTACTTAAGTATGGCATAATAAATATTCATGCTATTGCTTGAAAAAGGCAAGCTCCCTCATCAATAATTGGTATGACTGAATGTGGCACCATAAGTTGCGGTATCATAAATTTTTACAATCAATAGTCCTTTTAGAACGGATCAAGAATAAATTTAAATAGTTACTTCGTCTTTATTTCGTCATTATAAAGTTTTTATATCTATAGAAATTTTTCTAAATTAACACTTAACGTATAACTAACTATTCAAAACCACTTAAATTATTACTTAAGCCAGTCTAACATAATTAAAATAAATACTTAACGTATTACTAATCTTTTAATAAGGCATAAATTATTGCTTAAGGCAACCTAGAGAAATGAAATAGCTGTAGTGTTGCCAATGCATAGAGAAATACCCGAGTTTATGGTGGCTTATAAGTGAAAATATATCCGCAAATTATAAACAAAGTGATAATTTTATCCTTTATTTAAGAATTAGCTGTTATCAAATGATTTAGTTTTGAATATTTTGCTCTAAATTATTCATTAAATTTCAATAATGTTTTTATTTCTATTTCACTTTATTAATTTAAAGCGACTAATGTGTGTATTACTTCATGCTTAACAAAAATTTAAAATACATGCATTGACAATAATGGCGGTGGTAATATCACACAGTGTGTGTACATTTGGTACTTACGTATTAACGCAACCAGGCCAAAATTCGCATAAATCGCCAAATTTGGCGTAAGTAGAAAAAATTGAAATCAATTTTTTTTTATAAAACAAAGTATTTTATAAACAAAATTATAAGCATATATTTTAATAACCTTTTAGATTACATATTATTTCGACATCACATAGTGCATTATTTCTCATAACAAATACAGTTTTTTATATTATTTTGTTTTAAAATATAAAATAGCAATTAAACCCTTCCAGTTTCGAATTCGAATAAGTTGCAGAATTATTTTTTCGGAGGAAATCTTTTGGCTATTGCTTTTAGCACTGATTGAAAACCGTCTTCGCCATTAACAAGCTTGAGCTTGTCGCCATACGATAGGTACTCTGTCCGCCATTCGTCGGGGACTATGGTAACGAGGTATGATTATTTCAAGTAGGGGTGCGGGGTCCCTCTTTAAGACTGGTTTCGGTGGGAGAAAAGGAGACTTCTTTGTTCGATCTACTGTATTAGCCCTAGAGTTAAGAGAAATGAGCATTCGCGCCTGAAACATCGTTTAGAGCGTGTGATTCCTTTTTTTTAATCTTTTCTCTTTTTCAAAAGCTTCTGTTTTAGAAAAAAAATTAAAAAAATTTATATGTATGTATGGAATATGTATGGAAATTGTATAAAATTGTTTAAAGCAGCTCAATGTTTTATTAATAAATAACTCATCTATAAATTTATCATACATAGTAAATTGGTTATTAAGAAAAAAATAAATTTGCTAATAAAAACTGTTTTTAATAAATAGTGAAAAAAAACTGTACAGGTTACAATAAAATATGAATAAGAAAACGTAATTTAAGCAAAAAAAACTTCAGATAATTTCAGATGGTTTGATGGGTGCTGATAAAAATCATCGTTGATAGTTTTAGATTTCATCCTAGTTGCGGTCACTTGCTTTCAGTTTAAAAAATAAATAAATAAATAAATAAAATATTTAAAAATTAATAATCAAAACAAAGATATTTAATATTTCTCCGGCACAGATAACGTGAACTATTTTTATTTTCAGCAAAAGTTTTATCTCCTTTTAAAATCAGAGTTATTAAGTTTAAGCTCTTCACTTTTTCCAGAAAATTCAAGTAATAAAAGAAATTAACTGCTTTAAAAAATGTGCAAGTTTAGAAATTAAACCATCTAACAATCAATGAACATTCATAATAAATATCGTAAAATTAAAAAGTAATATTAAAAAAACCTGTACTACCCTTAATGTCAGAATTTGTTCACTTTTTTTCCTTTGTATTTAAAAAATAACAACTGATTGAATCGAGAGAATTATTTTAAGTAAGAAAGAAATATTCATGCGAATCTTAAAAAAGTTCTTGAATCAGATTAAATAAGTCTCCCACTGGTGGCTGAGTCAGCCAATCTGGTATACTCCCCATATCGGTATACTATCATCGAAGGCGAAAGAAAAGGAGACCTCTTCATCGAAGTCACCCTCCCTAAAATGCTCTCTTCTTGTTTCCATAGCACCAGACTGCCGCAGACTTTGTGGCGGACAGAGTACCTATCGTAGACAAACAGTAACCAGTAAGCAAAATAATTTGTTTACGAAAAACCACGTATAACACGTAGGGTTTCCGTAAGTAGGGTCGCTAAATTTGGCGATTTACGCGAATTTTAGCTTGGTTGCGTTAATACGTAAGTACCGTACATTTTATTTTTCAAAAGACTCAATTCAGTTTGGCATCTGGCAAATTTCCATTTTTCATGGTTTCGCTTCCAAATTTTCGTCAACAGAGTTTGGGCAAATTTGCATTTCGTTGACGTTTATCAATGTTTACGAATCAATTTTTTGAAATGCTTGAACAAATGTAAATTTTAAAGGGTCTTATCTAAAACATAGTATTTTTTCATTTACTAAGAAATTTTAATGATATTATAAAGGTGTCTATATATAATACCAAATTGTAATTTTCCTTTTTTAAAAAAATCTCACATTCCCCTGGTTTTTGATTGACAAAAATTTAATTTTTAGATCTCCCACATGCACGTTTTTAGTGAGCCTTGCAGTTGCTGATCTTATTTTGTTAGTTTTTTACGTCCCACTGGAACTGGTGGGTTACTTTGTAATAACGTGGGATGCTGGAGGGACCATTTGCAAACTTAGTTCATATATCGAGATGTTGTCCGGTATGGCATCTGTACTGAACCTTACAGCTGTTAGCATTGAAAGGTGAGCTTTTTCTTCCTTTTATTTCTGTAGAATTAATAAAACTAGACTGAGTAAAAAAGATGTCAAAACTGCCGGAATATGGTAAAATGTACCATGTTTGTGGCTTTATGAGAACACCAAAACGTTCGGTATCTTTTACCAAAGCGTTTTGGTAATGATTTGGTAAAATTAACAATGCACCTTAGTTTAATAATAGGTGTTAAAGTTTGGTAAATGTAGTAAAGTTTGAAAATTTCCTCATGATACCTTAGAGCAGTGCATAAAAGCCATTTATTTAATTAAATTAACTTTTCAGTTTTGTATTTTTTACTAAATGTGTTATAATAGGAACTATAATTTTGAAAACCATAATTTCTGATAAACTGTTCTAATATGAACGCAAAATTTACTTAAATGTACATTACGGTCCAGACATTAAGGTCCAGCATAGATTCACATCAAGGGGGTAGTGGCAAAACCGAGTAGTACCCGGACTTACCGCGATAGTTGGGGAGTAGAGGTTATCGAAACGTGACAGAACAGTGACAGACAGAATTATTTCTCGAAATCATTATTCTTTGTTAGGGTATGAATCTTTAGTAAACGCATAATAAGCTAGGTTAAAAATAATTTTAGTAACTGCAACGATTAAGAAATAAGGATAGCATAATAACGAGAGAACTATAAAGAGTTGAAATAGTACAAACAGACTTATCTACACAGACGTCGCGATTAATCAACAAAACTCCAATTTGGTTGGTCCGTCTTCTTGACTACTAAAATGTATTTCAAAGTTTGTCCGTTAGAAAACAGAACTAATTTCAATACAATTAAGGTATCCATCAGTCTCGCCTCAATACCCGTACTTATTCTACTCTCCTTTACATAGTCCAAAATCTGGATTTAAAAATTTAACACCAGTATTATTTCCAAAGAAAGTCACCACATTTTCTGATGTTTTGGAAAATAGTATTCACCAGAAAAATATTTAAATAATTTCGTTTTATATGTAGGAAAATAAAATGTAAAAATACAGAGTGATTTTGAAAATTTCCTAGCTGTGTAATTTAACAATACTATAATTCGAAATTTGACAGTACATATTTTTCTTAGGTTTTTAGTTATAGCCTACCCAATAATGGCAAGAAGGTTTTGTACAGTCAGCACATGTCGTAGAGGTCTCTGCATCGTATGGGGATTAGCTATAGCTTTAGCTCTTCCAGTTTGCTTCACGAAAGTACGTAGAAACTTTATATATTAATTATTCCAAATGTAGATACTAGGTGATAATACAGTGCAGCAATTGCTCATTAGAAAAACAACTAGGATACACCATAAATATTTCGAATAGTTTAGCAACCCATGGCCGAAAATGCCGTGATACTAGAGGCGCGTCCCTGCAATAGATAAATTTCTCGTGCTCTTGTTTAAACTTATAATTAATTGAACTTCAAATTATTTAGCTCTGTATATTTCATGTTTCTTAATGATTATTTTCGAAAATTGCATTCAAAAAGGTTCAGACGCAGCTGTTATATTTGCTGTTGTAATTGATGAATTTGATACTAACTTGCAGAGCTCTCCATTTTGGTCACTAAGTAAATAAATTATTACAAAGCTCGTATTTCTATTTTGATGCAAATGGGCCTATTTGGAATCGCTTTCTGACAGTAACTGTTAGAAAACGTAAGTTCAACATAAAATTAAGTTAATTTAAGTTAAAATACTGAATCAAAAGTGCATAAAAAAAAGGTTCGTATTAATATAAACGTTACGTCAAGGTAAATATGCTGTGTCAAGTGAATAATCAATAAGAATTTAACACATTAACGTGGTATAAATAATTGTAAATAATATTTTAATGGCTGTAAAACTTTCCAATTCACATGCTTAATGATAATTTCAAACAAAAACAACTAGACAATGTTAGTTACTTTCTTACTTTGGATGCAGATGCCTGCTCTTCGTGCTCGATGTTCATTAGTTGTACAAATTGTTGTACTTTGTGCTGGTACTACAATTGTGCTACAATTTGTTGTACTTTGTGTTAGACGAGTTCAGTTCGCTTTGGTTCTTTTTACGCTTTTATATTTTAAATGCACTTAGCCTTAAAGAAACTCACCAGTATGTAATATGAAGTAAAAGTTAACTTAAAAGAACATCAGTTTTAGGTATACCGGGAAAATGCGAAATGGGACTTAACCTTAAAAAAATATCTGTCCAGAGTAAATAGGGCAATGACACTCACTTCCCTTTATTAGTCTGATCATTAAAAATAATCATCAGTGATTTTTAATAATAGTCGTATAACAATCTATTATATTTAATTCTCTTACGTGGCTCCCAAATTTTGGCTGTATTTCTTTTCCGCCGGTGGCAACGTTTGCTTTGTTTTGAAAACACCAAAGCATTCTGCCTTTTAATGATGTGTTTCTGATCTAATATATATAATTCTCTTACGTGGCTCC